GAAATAGATTTCGGAAAAGTAATGGCAATATGTTACACATGCTAACACATCATTTTAAGGAGAAATTTATATGATAAATACGTGATAATTCTCCAACACCTTCAGATGGAAAAGATTTTTTCTATGTAAACTGATACATCGTAATAAATTAAATTAAATTATAATATCGTTATTGTATAGATTTAATTGTATTTTAGAATATGGTATTTATTTTTTGAACAGAAAATCCACGATGCTATACACCACTAGTTTTATTTAATAAAATATTAGATAAAACCATTTCTGTACATGAACTAATGTTGGGTGGAAATTTTAAAATATTGTACAAAAGAAGATCAATAGAACTCTGCTTCCAGTGATTTTTGCAAAAATTACAAATCTAAAGAATAAATGTGCAAAAATCAAGCATATAAAAAGGCAATGTACCAAACTAAAAAATAATAAACTTCGAGAAAATAGTTACCAAACACATAGTTTATAACGTATAGTTAGTAGTTGTATGTGCAAAATTTTTCAGTTCAGATTTTTGAAAATACCACTACCATTGGTATTTCAAACATATGTCTATTATTAGTTGATATTAAATATTAAAATATCACAAAAATCAATTGTAATGATCTCTACATATTTACTAAATCAAGACAATTTCATTATTTAGCTTATTGTAAATCTCAAAAATCAATTATATTTCTATTTTTATTCTATATATTTAGTAAATCAAGCCAATTTCTATTATTTTTGTTTATTTTTCGCGTAATAAATAAATCAATTTGATTTTACAAATTTAGACTATTCTTACCAGTTCTAATTTCATAAATTTGCTAATTTTGTACGTAAATCATAACATTGTAAATATTGACAAAAATGAATATTTTTGAAATGAAAAATCTTTCTTAGGAATGTTCAAATATTTTTCTTATTTAGTTTTTACATTTAAAATTAGCATTACTCAATATGCAAATCGAATGAATTGAAAGTTGTTAAGTTTAAATTTATAGAAAAAGTGTCATTTGAATGTCGTAAGAAGTTGTAATTGAAAACTAGTTATCATGTGTGGTAACTCTAGCTTTTCCATTACACTTGGATGCTGTATTAACAAATAAAATAATATTATTGCTATATTAAAGTGCAGTTGAAACCATGAAAACATGAAAATATTTTCCTGATATATAATAAATTAAACTAACTAAGAGTTTGGTACAATAGTACATATCTGGAAGTGCAATGGATATGGGTCTACCTTCCAAAATTATTTTTCAGAAGTTTTTTTTTATTATTATTTAAACAGCAATCAGATATATCCTTATCATTATTTTACCAAGACTCAAATATAGTTTATTTTGAAATTTTGAATGTATATATGTGTAATGTGTATAGAATGTACAAATATAATTTAACATAATGTATTATTATCAATTTTTGATAGTTGTACGTAATTTATAAGTATAATGCCTAAATAATCTATACAAATTTGAACTGAAATAAATAATCTTATAATACAATAATAATATCTATCCTTATTATTAGTGTTGCATGAGCTGTTGTGATGCAATTTCTTAACCAGGAGTTATCAGAAGGCAACCCATGATTGTCCTTTCTTTTTGTGATGAGATTATATTAGATTCCAATAACAATGCCAAGAAAAGCTATTTCTCATTGAAATTTATATATGATTATTATTATATGTTAAAGGTAACATGATTACTACTTGATATCAAGCCGTTTCGAAAAGACTATAAAACCTGGAATCTTGTAGTTACAAAACCAAAACACTTGCTATGAACTATGTACAAGCTCACCATGCAGAAGTGGCATTCATTTCGATTTAAAAATATAAACTATAGTAGTAGCCCGACATACGAGTTGAATTATTTCCGTAACCACGCTCGTATCTCGAAGCATTTCCCATAAAATGCCAATAATTAAGCAGCTTGTTCGGTACTGCGATGTGAAATGGCAATGAATTCTTGCAACACCAAACTTGGTGTTTATTTCAACTAACAAACCATGTTTCCGGGCATAGGTCCATTACCATTATATCCGCTTACGAGCAGCGGATTGTGATGATGGTACGGAACCCTCGAAAAACAGGTCTTCGTGCTTCGTTA